GTCAATGCAGGCAATGTTCAAGATGCGAGCGGTGAGCGAAACGATCCATCGGACTTTTGTGAAAGAAAGGCCTGCTCCGTTGTGGCTCGGCTTACCAGTATATACATATACCTGCAGCACTCGTACGAGCACTTATAGCATCGACGTTAGTGAAATTTTGAACAATGGCGAGTTTCCAATTTTCGGCATAACACAGGCTCTATTCATGCCTCGGGCTCGACCAGTATCAATGACCTTGTCGGATAGAGAGGTCATGAACTTCAGATAATGACAAGAAGTTTTACTGTAGCACTACGTGTAGCTGACAAAATCAGTATTGCGTCGAAAGAAGTGCAAAACATTAAAAGAAATTAAACTTCGATGTTTATTTTTATCAAGTTAGTTCAGTTTTCGTAAACTGACTCGTCACAACATGCCAATTGGTTTTTTACATTCAGATGGCTATCCCTTAGTTTACTATACGTACAAGCTTAGAATTACTAATTTTTAAAATAAAAGTAATTAAGTAGTGTAGCTCCCATAAGACTAGAATCTCGAAGCAGCTTAAAAAGATTTTTGTTTTTTAAATTTCGATGCATCTTCGTACAAAAAAACTCTTTTTTAGTATTTGTAGTATGCAAGTACATTAAATTTTTTACTGGAATTTATTATTAATGGGATGTGAAGAAAAAGAAACAAACAAGTTTTTTGGAGAGTTAAAAGAAATATATTTAATATTTGATCGCATGCTCTAAAGAGAAAAGTATTTTTCAACGTATGTTGCTCTTTTTTTGCTCTTAAATTATTTCTTTTGAGTATTGTTTCACAAGTATAGTAAACACATCAGAAAACAAAATGCAATAATCGTCCTACTATCTTCTCGTCCCCCTCCTCCTATTTCATTTGATAAAATTCATTCACCTCAACATCCAAATTTTCTCACACATACAAAAAAAATTAATGTTAATTCCCCATGCATCGTCCATTTGTCTGACGTCTCCCTGGGGGCGAGCGGTAACACAAGACTAAAAAAAAAATTTCTGACACGACCGCAATTACTCTTCCTCTGGATCTCCATCTCGAATTTTTTCCATAACTATATCCGCATCTTCACGCACTCGCGCCAAAGGCAAAGCGGTCAGTGGCTGCTCACCAACAGCAGGCGCACGCTGAAAAATGTACCCATCTCCCACGCGATCCCTCGTGTATCCACGGCTGCAACGCGTTCCTACCTTACCGACCGTCTGCAGCATGCGATTTCTCAAACGATGAAAGTTGTCTGAAACACCGCTGCTGCTTACCAACTTTTAACAAGCCTAGCGACTGATGGCTACAAGCGATGGATCTTATCGGGATGATGCGTGTTCTTTTTTTTTTTTGCGCGTTAATGGAAACCGTGGGGTGAATAAAGTATCGATTTCTCCCGATGAATTTTAGTGCGATAAATCATTCCATTGTGTGCTCATATCGAATACGTGTCGATACGTGTATACTTTTGACGCAATTTTTATTATTCTTCGTAAAAATCGTGCGCGGACGACAGCGTTCGCCTGTAGCTTTTATCAAAAAATATATAATATGTGTGTTTACATATAAAACCGATACGCACGTATATACGCGTACATAGATGCGTGGCAAAAAAGAAGATTGATTGCCTATCATTAGAAAGTCATTACTCTCGCGCGGTGTTTTTCTTTCCCGTGCTACCTACACCTGTGATTGTAAACACCTTAGAAACCTTATTGGGGACGCGAGGGCTCATATATTCGACTGGCTAATTTTCACTGTGAAAAAGTAGACAAATATTTGGTTGGTCCGAAATTTTTTCCCTACGCTGTGTTAGATTACATATTTGGAAATGGGAAATCAAGTAGAGGAGATGAGCTCAACAAGCTTGTGCTTGCGTATATCAGGATGTACTTAAGCTAAATATTTCTTGTGTAGGGAAAACTGCGAGGGTGGGGATATAAATTTGTAAAATCATGTTGTGTCAAATTGAAACACCAATAAGAACGATTTTTAGAGCTAGGTATTTAATAATGCATTGTTAGGTTTGCTATCAAACTTAATAATGATAAGTCTCGGAAAAATAAATAATATTTATAACATAACCATATAGTTCGAGAATAAAAGTGTTAGGGTTCTATGGATTCTTCATCTTAATTCAATAGTACAGAGCTTGGGGATTTAGGGGTCGGGTTCTTGATTTTGGGGTGATGTAGGTTTAAGTTATTTGTTGAAAGGAAAACATAATTAGAAATACTTTTTATCCTGCGGCGCGTTAAAATTGGTTGTGAGAAATTTGCCAGGTCTTCAAATTGCTTGATATGAAAGATATTTAAGGAACCCAAATAATCCTTGAATCCATTCTACCCCTTTGCTTGAACTGAGTTTTAGGATAACGCTAAAAATATCATGCATCAAAGGGCTGTTAGTAACGTGTATATAAATTTAGAGGTACATCTATGACGTTACTCATATGTTTTAAACCACGTCCCCCTCCACCCTCTTCTTACTAATGAGGTCATACGGTTTTAATATAATTACGAATTAAATTTAAAAGGACCTCGAGAAAAATATGATTGACGATGACTGTTTACTAAAAATCGTGCTAAAATAGCGAATAAATAGAAATGCTATTTTTGAAGGATATTACTATGGTACCAAGAATCGATGGGCATAATAAGGCTGTAGGATTTTAAACAACTATATTACAGATTTAACACGAGAGCAAATATATTTTGCAAATAACAAAAATATTTTTATCTTTCCGTTGTTTTGTATCAAATTTATGGTCTAAAATAGTGAGGTTTAAGAAAGTTGCCAAATTATTCATAGTAATTTATCATTTTCATTTTTTACGAAATATTTATTAGTTGCTGTGATTTATTTCAAATGTGTGATACGTGTCATGGTATATTTTTATACTTTCTATTGAATTGTATCACTTTCAAACTAATACTTTTTTAATAAAATAATATAAATTTAGATTATGGATTCGTTGATAGTAATTCAACTTTGGCGTGTTAACACTTATCATACTAAATGTGTTACATAGACCGTAAATAACGCATCTACTACAAAAAAATTTTGAGATTTCAATATTTTACTGAAAAAGAAAAAAAAAATTTTTCAGGTCTTGTATCCACTACAATTATCGAGAAACCCATAAATCAAAAGAAACTGAGAAAAATATCTAGCAACTATTTCATGCTAAGAAAAAAATAAGAAAGCCTAGCTAACAGGCACAAATGGAGGCTGATCCTGTATGTATAAGCCTGAGAAAAGAAGGTGGGCAGTGAGAAAAAAAAGAGCAGGAGCCTGAGCAACGGATAACGTCTGCACGCGACTACTTAAAATTTAATTTCCGTACTTAATATAACGGAGCACAGCCTAGGTAAGCCCAAGAATCCAGAAAAAAGTATTCTTTTCCTCTTTCTCTTCATTCTTTTTTTTTCTTTTTTACTTCCTAGTGTACACATTCTTCGTATTTGTTGGAATACAATACTCGCGTTTGGCACGTACTAGTGCTCCGTTATCTAGTGGCGAATCTTTTGCTGCTATTGCCGCGTAAGTCCATATGCATATAACGTTTAATATGCGTATGCTGCATTTTTTTCCTTGAAGAAAAGAAAGCAAAACTTTCTTGCTAGTAAACGGCATTGCAGGAGCTTACAATTTTTTATATCGAAAGTAGATAAAAAGTATAAGATAATCTGCGATCATTTCTGCCGATAATCATAAGAAATTCAACTGTACCATGAAAGTTTTTATTGTTGACAAATTCAGATATCTGGTATTTTTTCTAATTTTTAGATGAATGGATTTGGCCAAAGAAAAGATGAGAAACACTTTTCCATCAATGCGTTTTCGGAATTTCGTCGTAGCCAGGACGATTTTAATGATATAAGCTACTAGGATGTTGTTAATGACCACCTAGTAATGATGATAAAGCAGTACTAGGGTTTTGTCCGTTAAGTTTGGGATTAAATATTATCTTGTACTGCTACTCGCATTAACATTGTTTTGATGATGATAACCATGAATACTTTAAAATAAAAAGTGAATAAGGATACAAACAAATTGAGCCACTTATTTAAAAGCCTTACGATTTTCATTTTACAAATGTTTCACAGTTTCCATATTTTATCAAAAATGCAGTTCGTTATAACTTACAATGACCATTACGAGGCAGGCAAAAGTTTGTGTCCCCAACGCAAATGTCCGCTATTACGAATTTTACTAATGTACTGTATTTTCAAAAAACTTTTCCAGATAATTTGAAAAATAACTATTTTATAGAAATTTTTTAAGATCCATGAATAAATAGTATGCTAGAGATTTGAGTTTATTATAAAAATTTTATTACATTTATGATACCACCATAACAGAAAAAATTGTTTAACTAGAATAATTGAGGATTACGTCTGTAACTATTATTAAGTCCTTTTATAGTTTGCTGTATTAATACAGTAGGGAGCAAACAATCTAAATTTTTACTTTGCTGCTAAGCTAGTCATTTAAATAAAGTGAAAATTTTTTATAATGTACAGACTGTATTATTTTTATACTTAATGATGTAACAAAAAATGTAACGGCTTTAATAATTTGAGCCCCTTCAAGAAAGAATTTTTTTTTTCTAATGATGTAACATAAATCATAAAAACCATACTGGTCTTAAAATGAAATGAACTTTAATATATCTTTAAATTATTCCATGTTTTCATTCTATAAGTTTTTTTTTTCCATAGGTTCTTGATTTCATTAAGATTCACTAATTTACTAATGATACAAATTTTGTCTTCATCCATACTTGTATATACATATGTACAAACTCTTTTTAATTTGAGAATTTTCAAAAGTAAAAACTATTTTTCATCATTTTTTTTGTAGCAGTTTCCTACTAAAAGTTATTCAAATATTATAAAGTCCAAACATTTACCGTTATAGTATTTGTAGGTAACAATTAAAAAAAAAAATATTACTTTAGTCAGTCTTTCTGACTTCTGAATAACTGAATGACAACCGTCTTTATAAATGAATGTATCAAAATTAACTAAAACCAAAAAAAAAAATTTCCAAATGGACAAAAGTTACAAGTCACCAATCCGTCAGAAAATCATCTTCTACTTCGATTGGCAATGATAAAATGCAAAATAGCAACTAATAAACGCGAGCAACAGAACTGTTGGCATGAAACATTGCATAATCGTCAAATTTTTTTCACCAACGAGGTACTTCCGCGTCGCTGCAGCCGCACACAGGATGTAAGTTTCCAGATCCATTGGTTCGGGATACAGTGGGCCCATCTCCAGTTCCTCCGGACTTAAATGTTTCAGGGCCAACTCGTTGATCCTGTGACGCTCTACTTGGACAGTTCTGTAGGTCACCGATTCAAAATCTTTTAGAAGACCACGTACTCGGTTGTGCTCTTGGAGCATTCTGAAAAAAAACATACATTAGGATTACTAAGCTTCAACCTGCTAAGTAGCTATAGTTCAGGGTGCTGGTTACCTTGAGTAATTTTAACCTTTTTTTGCAAGACAATAAAGCTCACAATTTACAATAATTGCAGTTATGCAACATGGATTGCTTAAAAATCACATCAAAACTATATCTGTACTTATTTTATCTTACAAGATTTACACGTTATTTTGTCAAAAAACTTATATGGCTTCCTTATAAATCACCTATCAGAGGACATGATACAATAAAAATTTCACCCGTGACGCATGCACTTTCAAGGACAGCACTATTTTTATTGCGTTAATTCTTTGCAAGTATGCCTTTCTGCACTTATCTACTCAACGCCAAGATGGTTTGTTATGATTAGATAATTATTTCAGTACAAAATAGGGATAAAAAGTGTAACTTCTTTTTAAAACCTTGAGGTGCCCTAATAAATAATAGATTTTAATTTTTGCGAAATAAATAACTACAGGGTGTATTATAAATTAAATGTCAAAATAAAATAGGAAAAATCAGTGAAATATTAGTAGTAGTAGTAAGTTTTAACCAAATCGAAGAGCATGTATAAGATAGCAATTAAGTGTATGTTGGTTAAATAGTAATGTATAATTATTAAAGATTTTAATGGCACCATAAAATTATATTCTTATACACGCGACTCCAAAACGGAACTCATTAGATTTTTTTCACCGAAGACGTATACGTATTATTCAGTCATACAAATAGTAATTTCTCACTTAACTAGTTTTTTTTTTAAAGTTGGCAATATTTCGTTTCATACATTTGTTTTCATCCCATACCCCCTTATAACCACATCCATAATGTAAAGGAAAATAAAATTTTTTTTTATAATTACATACTTGCAGCTCTTAATTAATCGCCTCATCAACCCTTCCCAATCTCTTTCTGGTACTCACTCGCTCACAGTTCTTTTTTCAAAATTTTATTATTTATTTTGTACAATTTCTTTTAATGGAATATTTAATACTTACGTTTTTCGTCGATTAAACAACCAAAATATCACATCGATTATCAAACATGGCAGCCACTCAAAGACTGTAACAATGAGCCAATGCAAAATAATAGACGAAGTGATGCCTTGCAGCCCAAAACTTGGATATCTGTATTTGTTGCATCCTCGTTTTCCCTTGTGAACAATGTCTTCCCAAGTACACTCGATCGTTGATGCATTGTAATAAAGAGGCTCGGAAATCGTTTTCCTGAAGAAAATAAAAAATTGTGATTTTCATTAAATCATTTTATAAACTTAAATGAATTTGTGAATAACTTGATACTAGGTCTTTTTCATAAAACCACTTGTAAATTGATTTTGCGATCGAAAATATCCAAGCAAAAAACCCAATCACCCTTTCTTGCGCATCGAGAAATTTTTAAAATTTTAAATAATATTCATATTATGCACGAAGGGTAGTTTTATTGGAGTACTTGTGAATAATTACAGCAGTAGTGTTTTGATGCAGTTGCCTCGAAGATCGATATTCAATCTTGAGACCAAAAAAGTAAAAAAGTTTACTCTTCAACGAAAGAAAAAAAAAAAACTCCGTCGTGTAACTAACCACATCAAACATATTTTTTTTCTTCAGTTTTTCATTTTTAATATATTCTGTACATAAAAACGTATAAAATTGAGGATATCACAGAAAGCAATACTAATAATTAGCTGTATTGCTATTTATAAACTGTTTTAATAAATTCAAGCGAAAAAAATTACTTCCATTCGGGTTTCGACAGCAATTCGCGGGAGCATGAGCGTCGAGCCACGTCCGCACGTATCGGTCAAGATGTCGAAAACAATGCTAGAAAGAAATTTCACGACTCACGATAAATCCAGCCTGTCATAATAACTCCTCCTGAATGGACAAGAATCACTTGGCCGCGCGTAGATTCGAAAGTGCCTTGGCACTACGTGCACACGGCCAAGTTTCTTCTCGGTATGGTTTTCTACCCACACGGGAGGGGCAAAAAATCATCGGGAGCCATTTCTGAAGACAAAAATTTACGCAACGCTCCAGCCCCCCGGAAATAACTTAATTTATAGGAAAACGCTCGTACGAATGGTCTTGAGTGTAACATGTGTTGGGGTGGCGGGCATGAAGCATGAGTACTCACGTAAATAATGCGATGCTGAAAGTTTCACATCACGTGCGTGCAGTAGAAATATTACGCGATAAAACGTTACGAACACTTCGATGTAAGCATTTTGTTACGCGATCTCGCTACCCACTGCAGCCAATTGTACCATACAGTGACGATACGCAGTGTTAAAGATATTATCTGAAGCACTGTTGGGGGTAAAACTCGTGGTCACTCCTACTAAAGTTTTATTTTGGGATATATGTTTGTCTCTACGAACACTCTTGCAGCTGCAACGAAAACTGCCACTACGATATTGACGATATTCGCTGCACACCTACGCTTGAATTTTCATAAGCCTCGTAGCAGCAAACTCGTCAAACCTTTGGTGGTGGAAAAAGAGAGAGTGGGTGGAAGAACGGGACGAGGGATAATAAACGGAGTCTCGTTAACAATCTCTAATTGACTCGATACTTTTCAAACACTTTGTCAAGAAATATTATTTCAGGTCTTGTGGTTTTTTTCTTTGGGAATAGTAGAATGGGTGAGTATGCCTATCCTACTCCTATTTACTGGTACTGAGAAGGTAATCAGTAGACCGAGTAAACGCTGGAGTACAAGGAACCTCATTGTGAAAACCATTCAGTTGGTTAAACAAGTAGTATTATTTCTGATTCGCCTAATGGATAGGCAAACAGTTGTTGACGATATCATAACTCTTGACTAAAAAAATCTCTTGACTGATGCAAAAACGTTATACTGTTCATACATATCATGGATATATTCTTTGTGTATTGGACAGTGAAAAAAACACAATTAAGTGATAATACGAGCGATTTTTAACTTATTAAGAAACTAGTAATTACTGGGTTATATTTTAGAACATAAAATCAGGAGACGAAAATTAAATTTAAAAAAATATAAAGCCTACGATCAAGACATATTTTATAATGTGGTTGAGAGTTGTGTGATGAATAAGTAAAAAATGTTATTTATGTTTTTATGAATACTCGTATCACGTGTAATTTGACTTTGGTAAAGTACATGTAAAAACAATTTTAAAAAATGCTTTGTTAGAATATATGACTATAGACAATGAGTATCGAGTTCTGGATTAAGTGCCTTATATTAAGTATTCTATGCCAGCGATAATACTTTCGGAATGTGCGTATTATTATTTTATTTGAGCCCAACTCCTCACACCATTGATTTGTATATCATTACGTCAAAATCAATGAGTATTATTGGTGAAAATTCGATGTCAATAACTTTTACACTAGTACTCATACAAGGATTCCTAAAAATTATTTCAATAGTCGTGCAAAGTGTAATTACGGTATACAAAGTAAAATTTTTTTTTCGTTTGCGTACAATAACCATATCATTTGCACACTGATGCACAAAAAGGCACTAAAAGCTGAAATCTGTACACCAATGGGGTCTCAAAAAATGGCTTATACAAGTACAATGTGCACGCGGTGATTGCCACACTTACGTTAAAACCTCCTGCTTCAAGCACTTATTACCCAATAAACTATTACTTTATCATGAAAAAAAATGTGTAGAGGTACGTAGGATAATTTCGTAAAAACGCTCTTTTTACATTTAATTTTTTCGAAAGTTCTTTTCTTTTTTGAAAAAATGACAGGATCATTGTCCTACGTCTTTTATATATGCACTATAATAAATCTGGATCACCTATGCACACTACGATACCGTAAGACTGTACTTTGTATAAAAATTTAAAGATTGTTTATGTTTCCTATTGCAATTATTATAAAAACTTTTTACAACATGTAGTAACAAGAGCATGCCATTCAATTATACTAACAACATTTTGAACACATCGATGTTTCACTTATCGTAGTAGTAAAAATACCATAAATGTTGAATTTTTGTGGGTCAGGTCGTTAAACAGTTGAAGTTTTAACTTGTTAACTAAAGGGGAAACGAGATGAATTTATGTTTTACCACTACATTGGTTGACATTATATTTCTGACTATATATATACACTCGTCTGGGAGCTCCAAAAGTTACTACTTACACACGATACAATAAAGTTTTCATCAGAAACTACCAGACTTGATTACTACAATGGCAACGAGACACACAAAGCTCTTTTGAAACGAAACTCCCTACACCATGAAGTCTCCGATCAACACTTTCCATATTGTCAACAAAACAAGCGCGTAAAATCGTAACTTTGTCCCAGCTTTCCCACCCGAGCTCTCGTTCTAAATTCACGTTTCGTGCGAGAAGGTGCAAATTTAATTTATCGAAAATGACAAAGTTCGGTACTAACTCTCCTCGCTTAAGCCGTTACGTTGCCCCCCGAATGTAATGTCCCGAGTGCATACGATGTCAACTGTAAACGGAGAGAGAGAAAGAGCCAACGCGGAGCAAAGGGCCCCCCTCCCCAAGGGAGAGAGGGACGACTAATAAAGTCGGCGCCGTCGTTTAATTCGTCGCTAAACTTTTCGCTCGATTGCCTGCGCAGGAATCGAGATTTCTGCCAGAGCAAGGCATCGTTTCCGCGCCAGGGCTCCGGTGTTGCCTTGTGCTGCGTATGCCACATCACTTACACGTGGACTCGAGCGCGGACTTTCACCGCACACGACTTTCTACACCTGCGCGGCGGTCAGCTGAATTTTCCACTAAACCTGACCCGCAGGTCCAAGTGACCTTATCGCTCTCCCTTATTTGGTTGGGCAAACTCTCGTGTACGGCGCTACTACAGTGTTTTAACACGCGTTACACAATAACGTAACTTATGAGCGACGAAAACAAAAACAAAAAAAAGTACCAAGAGCCGCACGTGCGTGGAAAATCACCGACTCGTTGCGCCACTTGAAAATCAACCTGCTGAAAGTGCGTTCCCGTGCGCTGGCTTGCTTTTACGTTTATTGCATATCCTCCTGCCGCGCGCGAGAGAAAGGAGCTGTGTTTGCAATTTGGAGCTCCATGCGAGCCAATGATGGACTCTATTAGTTTGTTTTTTTTTTTTCGCTACTGCTGTGCTGGAGCGCAATCGAAGGAAGCTGGTTGATCGTTATGATTACGGGGATCGAGTCTGTTTTCAATTTGTCGTGCTGAGTTAATGATGTTCACTGTTATAAAACTGTCTACCAGAGATACCTACTCGTGTTAAATTAAAAGACGAACCATTTCATCTTTGTCACGCCTTTTACCTTTACGGAAATAAGCTTCTATTCAACTTATTGCGTTTTATTCTTTTTCATTCGTAACAAGCGAGTTGTTGTGCTCTCTTTGACACTAAAGGGGTATTATGAAATTCACTAAATCAAAAAACAAAAAAAAAACAGTACTGATGGCCAAAAAAAGTTGGAGCTCAAGTTAAATTAAAAAGACTACATGTTTCGTAAAAATAAAATGTATCTTTCTAATCATCTACCACTACTATGCAAAATTGTCGCATGCGATAATTTTGTTACGAGTGCGAGAGAGACGGCAGCATCATATTTCTCTTGTATTCATGACAAATAATCACACGACTTCATTGGAAAATCATTCTTCACAAGAGAACGCATATAAAATTGTACAAAATGGTTAAATGTCACCTAAAAATTTATCGTCTGAAAAAAAGTAGAAACAGGCAAGAGAGGTAAGACGAGCGTATTGAAAACCTGTTATTTTTTCATTGCAAGAACCGAATAAGAAAATTAATTTAGTGCAATTTCTTTACACTAAACTGCATTTTTATGAGTAATGAGTGGTTCCATCAGAAAAAAAAAAAATTGCTTAACTGATCCAAAAAAGTGGACACTATACAGTCGATTGTATTCCATCGACAGACATTATAGTCTGACATTCAGTGTACTTGATGACGAGAAAATCATTGCAATAAAGCGGTAATCGCACAACCAACCTCTGCCCAATGTCCCAGGCGGCCACAATGAGCGTATTAGTCGCTACGTCGATGGGCACAATTTCAACTGGAAAATCACTCCGACCCAGCACGTATCCTGCACCAACCATCACGGCCGTGGGCGCTTTCAGCAGTTCAACGTAACCAGGCATTGGTTCACGCAAGGCTGGAGCCACTGGTGGAAGCCGAACTATGCCCAACCGCAGGTCCGTTGGAAAGTTGTCGTGGCCCATGTGATTCTCTATTATCTGGTCCTCCTTGCATCTATTACGTATGAGAGCAAGAAAATTGAATTTTTTGCTTTCCAATATTTCATTTCTGTCAGCAAAATTAATATTTAGGTAACTTATGCAATCCAGTGAGTAAGTAGGTACACTCTTTTCTGGACCTTTTTTTTCTACAGAATTTTTGGCTCTTAAAAATGAGAAATTCACGAGTTTGGGCTATCGGTTTAATGAGCAACCAATTTATTGATCAACACTCTTATCCAACAGCACACATAAGCCTTCTTATTTAAAAATAAGTGATACCCTTTAGGTGAAATAAGTTTTTCTGACCATTACTTCCCCAAACTTCCACCAAATATAGTAAAATACTCGGATTTCAAACATAAAACTCTGAAAGTACGTAATGAAAAGAACTTAGTTGTTAGCAAACATGTAAATATGGTGTGATTAAAATTGTTGTTTTTTGTGAAACTCATTTTAATTTTTCCATTGTTTGGCCCTATACTATACAGTTTTCAATCCAAACAACTGACTTAAAAAGCTTAATCATGCTCCGTCAATCATGTTTGTAAGAGTTTCAACACCGTTGCAAGCATGTTAAACTGGTGACAAGATATTTTATGTCATGCAGATTCTGAGCATTTATAATTACTGTATTATTACTTAAAAGATGTTTTAACGCGTAGAAATTAAAACAAAACTTGAATTTACAGTATAGTTTATTGTTGTATTTGGTTGAAAGTCATACGGCTTATAACTCAATTATGTAATGACTTGGGCCCTTACTGCGTATAAACGTTCATAGTAGCCACTGCTAGAAATTACTTTAAAAGTTAAAGGTTAGATCCTGTTAATAGTATCCTGCATTTTCGTTCAATGTTATAAAAGTTCGCACCTTCAGACTTAAGTCATACATTGCACGAAAACAGTTTTTTTACAACTTGTTCTTACCTCAACAGTTCATCGACAACGACCACGGCTCGTAGATTCGGCAGCTGTTCACAGAACTCGAGAAGACATGCGGGATCGCCACCTACATGAAAGACGATGCTAACATTGGCCAATGCCTTCTGCTCGTAGTATTGTAAGCCAAGATGAGTATGGACAAGATTACCCTCGTAGATTTTGATGCAAGAAGCAGCATCGGGTCTCTCTTGACGAAGCCGTGCGAAGCTGGCAAGAAGACAGTCGAGATTTACTCATGCAGTGGCGTATTTTTATTTTTTATTTTTTTTCTACTTTCTTGTGTGACTGAAAATTCTTGTAATTTTTTGTATTTGTATTGATTGCTTAAGTTTAAAAAACGTAATGATGTAGTTTAGCTGATTTATATGATGCAAGATTATACGCCTCAAGTGCTGGTTCTTGTTGCACAATTTATGAGCTATTGAACGAGTTTATTCAGCAAAGAGGTTTATATTAAAACGAATCAATTTCTATGCTTTGTGTAAAACAGTTATTTACAGAGTTTATACTTTACAAAAATTCTGTTATTAATTCACAAAAAAATCTTTTTTTTTTTGGAGATGCAGTAGATGTAGAAAAATACCCACTGCAATAATAAAACTTTTTTTTTAGANGCGTGTTAACACTTATCATACTAAATGTGTTACATAGAGCGTAAATAACGCATCTAATACAAAAAAATTTTGAGATTTCAATATTTTACTGAAAAAGGAAAAAAAAATTTTTCAGTTCTTGTATCCACTACAATTATCGAGAAACCCATAAATCAAAAGAAACTAAGAAAAATATCTGGCAACTATTTTATGCTAAGAAAAAAATGAGAAAGCCTAGCTAACAGGCACAAATAGAGGCTAATCCTGTATGTATAAGCCTGAGAAAAGAAGGTGGGCAGTGAGAAAAAAAAGAGCAGGAGCCTGAGCAACGGATAACGTCTGCACGCGACTACTTAAAATTTAATTTCCGTACTTAATATAATGGAGCACAGCCTAGATAAGCCCAAGAATCCAGAAAAAAGTATTCTTTTTCTCATTCTCTTCATTCTTTTTTAATTCTTTTTTACTTTCTAGTGTACACATTCTTCGTATTTGTTGGAATACAATACTCGCGTTTGGCACGTACTAGTGCTTCGTTATCCAGTGGCAAATCTTTTGCTGCTATTGCCACGTGAGTCCATATGCATATAACGTTTAATATGCGTATGCTGCATTTTTTTCCTTGAAGAAAAGAAAGCAAAACTTTCTAGCTAGTAAACGGCATTGCAGGAGCTTACAATTTTTTATATCGAAAGTAGATAAAAAGTATAAGATTATCTGCGATCATTTCTGCCGATAATCATAAGAAATTCAACTGTACCATGGAAGTTTTTATTGTTGACAAATTTAGATATCTGATATTTTTTCTAATTTTTAGATGAATGGATTTGGCCAAAGAAAAGATGAGAAACACTTTTCCATAAATGCGTTTTCGGAATTTAGTCGTAGCCAGGACGATTTTAATGATAAAAGCTACTAGGATGTTGTTAATGACCACCTAGTAATGATGATAAAGCAGTACTAGAGTTTTGTCCGTTAAGTTTGGGATTAAATATTATCTTGTACTGCTACTCGCATTAACATTGTTTTGATGATGATAACCATGAATACTTTAAAATAAAAAGTGAATAAGGATACGAACAAATTGAGCCACTTATTTAAAAGCCTTACGATTTTCATTTTACAAATGTTTCACAGTTTCCATATTTTATCAAAAATGCAGTTCGTTATAACTTACAATGACCATTACGAGGCAGGCAAAAGTTTGTGTCCCCAACGCAAATGTCCGCTATTACGAATTTTACTAATGTACTGTATTTTCAAAAAACTTTTCCAGATAATTTGAAAAATAACTATTTTATAGAAATTTTTTAAGATCCATGAATAAATAGTATGCTAGAGATTTGAGTTTATTATAAAAATTTTATTACATTTATGATACCACCATAACAGAAAAAATTGTTTCACTAGAATAATTGAGGATTACGTCTGTAACTATTATTAAGTCCTTTTATAGTATGCTGTATTGATACAGTAGGGAGCAAACAATCTAAATTTTTACTTTCCTGCTAAGCTAGTCATTTAAATAAAGTGAAAATTTTTTATAATGTACAGACTGTATTATTTTTATACTTAATGATGTAACAAAAAATGTAACGGCTTTAATAATTTGAGCCCCTTCAAGAAAGAATTTTTTTTTTCTAATGATGTAACATAAATCATAAAAACCATACTGGTCTTAAAATGAAATGAACTTTAATATATCTTTAAATTATTCCATGTTTTCATTCTATAAGTTTTTTTTTTCCATAGGTTCTTGATTTCATTAAGATTCACTAATTTACTAATGATACAAATTTTGTCTTCATCCATACTTGTATATACATATTTACAAACTCTTTTTAATTTGAGAATTTTCAAAAGTAAAAACTATTTTTCATCATTTTTTTTGTAGCAGTTTCCTACTAAAAGTTATTCAAATATTATGAAGTCCAAACATTTACCGTTATAGTATTTGTAGGAAACAATTAAAAAAAGAAATATTACTTTGGTCAGTCTTTCTGACNATATTGGATGAGGATAATAGACATATATTTTTGAAGTTAATACATTTTAGTAAAAAAAAAAAAAAAAAAATGTATTGTACGTAGATTCGCAAGAGACTAACAAATTTTATGTGTGAGTTAACGCCAATCTAAAACTATTTGTCTTGGCAAGCTCACCCAGAGACTATCATTTGGCTTTCATGGATATAGCAACGATACTCTTTTAAAATAGTAAATAGATACTATTTAGTGTCATCTGTCGTTTATGTCGATTAACAGAAGTTAAGGTATTCGTATTAAGATGTAAGATTACGCAAACACAAAATTGTTTTGAACCAAATACCTAGGCTTGACGGAAAAGAATGACTTTTAAAGTTTGTATGATTACAATAGAGGAGCTCCTAGTAGCATATCACTACATCTTTCGTACATTTCATGGCAGTAAAAAATCTCAATCTGGTACTCTTTCTGGGTTTCAGGCAAACAATTATTATCTATTTTTTTAGCCTTACAATTAATTTGTTTTTTTAACGAAGAGAATAAATCAGAATATCAAAGACAAAACTGTATACTTCGTATTTGTGTTTTGAATTTTATCTTTTTGTCCAGTGCTTTGTTGGATGTCATGACCTATGAACGTCCGACTCTTTTGTTGAATAATCTTTTTTTGACAACGTCAATTTAAATTATAAAATTAATTATTTTGTTATGCTTAGAATTTACATAAAAAAAAAGTATGTTTATTTATTACAGACACCTTTGTGCTACAAAGCCAGTCAAATTGTTCAACTTGTCTCATGTAAGAGTATTATTTCGGTTATAGTTCTGGAAAACTGCTTTTTCGCCCGCATAGATTATATACAATGATTATAATAAATATTAATTTATGCTCAGTAATTTCTATGTTTCAAATCCATTGCAACAGTTACAACATAAAAAATGTTGGAGTGGCAAACTTTTTTTAGACCAGAGATCACTGAAGCAAGATTGTCTTACTTTCCACAGCCAATTACACATGAGATTCATATACTCACTAACTTATATCATTATTAATATCGTATGAATATAAGAAGTGCGAGTTAGTCCTTGGCAAATCACTACAAAAGGTGCTCGACAGAGACTACACTTTGAACTCACTAAACTAGTACCACTGTTTTTATGGACTGAGAGAAAGAGAGATTAGGTAGATAGAGAGAAAGAAAAAGAAAGAGAGAAAATGGTAGAAATGAAAATAAAAACAGGAAATCACCCTACCCCGGAGAACTCCAAATGCTCTTCTGAACGCGATCGTCTTTTTCCACGCCATCGCGAGTCCTCACGATGAGATGGAGTTTGACGCCTGGAAAGGACCTCAATAATTTTTCCAACAAATTACGGCCCAATTGGCTTGTCACTCCAGTTATAAGAATCTCTCGCTCTCCGTACCACTCGCGCAGCAACATTATCGCAGACTAACAGCGCACACAGTCCCCGCAGATCAGAAACGCGCACGAGCTCGAAAGAAAGTGGGCCCAGCACTGCAGATAGATGCACTACGATAGGTAAAGAACATGGTAAGAGGTGGGCCCCCTCCCCTCGACATTTGGTGGGCCATTGCAGGCTTGTAGAGGCAAGGATAATGCACACGAGCTAGTGTATTATGTACTGTACTTTTAGTCTAGACCATCGTGTATGCCACTTTGGGTCCCTCTGCGTTACTTATTATTTTAGAGTATTTTTTTTTGCTTAGTGCTCTGGTAGTATTACCTCTAGGTCTTATGCTGTTGGAAAAAAACGTTTTTTGTTTAATGCATGACTCTGGACGATTAATAAAAGGATATCTAGACACAAAACATATGTAAATTTTTAGTGAATGTTTTTTATTTACACTGAGCGAAAAAAAATAATCAAAATTATACAGAAATTCCAGAAAAAACTACCATTCTGAATAGTAAATCCAATGGAAAAAAAATTTGTATTTTTAATAGTAAAGGTTATTGTTTTATTAGTAAAAGTTAATGCTTAAATAGTAAGAATTACGGTAAGAATAGTAAACATTACTATGCTGGAACTGTAAGCTTTATAAGGATCGCCTAATGAACTTCACTTTCCCGTACAAAAATTTAAATTGTTCTAACCATAATTTTAACTTTTTGAACCATAATTTTAATTGTTAAAATAAAAATAATTTTTACTATTAAAAATAACACTTTTTTCTCTCAGTGTATAAATATACTTAATTATGACAAATAAATACCTATATAACTTTTAATATCATACAGCTCTATTAAGTAACAGGATC